AAATTTAAAATTTTTTATTTTTAATAAAAAAAAATTACTGCTATTTAGATCGTTAACGGTGTTTAGCAATTAGAATGGTAAAACACCAATCATTGGAGGTAAAGGACTGTACAATTCATCTAAAATAAAATGAAATGGAACAGTGAGGTGAGAGTGAAGTTGATGCGCGTGGTTGTGTTGAACGGAGGAAGCGATAACGTCGGTGAGCAGATACGGCAAACATTAACGTTGACTATGCGACCCAATCATCACCCCACAATGTTTGACTCTGTCGGGGATTCGGAAATCAGAGAGCATATAAATGGACTAATCATCACCACCCTCTGATCCTGCTGTTCTTTCAAATCCAACAGTCTTTCATCGTGGGTCCTACGGATGCTTCCCTGGGACCTACACAGGGTATGTTAGCCAGCTGCATAAAAGAGTGCCAACGAAGACCTTTCGGTACTTGTACTTGCAGTGCGGCAGAAATCATACGGTTTGGTGGATAACGTTTATCTTACTTGCTGTTCTTGCATGGCCCACCAGTTTTGATTGAAGTGGGACCCATGGTTCCTCTACCTCGTGCTTAAACAGCTCTCTCACCCGAAGATATTTTCCTTCATGATGTGTATATAAATAAACAAAATTATTATAGTTATATTATTATTTAATATTATAAATTTATAATATAATATATTATTGTGTAATTAATTTTTTATTTATAATTTAATATAATAATAATAATAATATTGTCGATAAATTTATAATAAAAAAGTAAAATGCACTTTGTTTACACATTATTCTACAGCATTTTCATTTATAATGTGAGCTTCCAAAATTAAAATTTTAAATTTGAGTACTTTCACAAATATTTTTTTCTTATAAATTATATAATAAAAAATAATTATTTCTTATAGCTTAACTCATTTTACTCACTATATCAAATTGTTTAAATTTAAATTTTTTATTTTTACAAAAAAAATTATTATTAAATTATTTAAAATGTTAATAATTTTACCAATATTATCTGTATATAAAAGCCAAGTAAGAGGCTAGGAAACAACCAAGGAGGAACATGATTAACCCTATTTTCTAACCAATAGGGAAATGCGCAGGCAGAGGACCTTGTATCTAACATGATTTACATTTTTTACTGTAGCCAGGTAAATTGTGAATGTAATGTATACATAATTTTTACTAATTGATCATTTTAATCAAAATAAATAATAAATAATTTTATATAAAAGGTATATTTTATATTTTAAATAAAAATAATGTTTATCCACCTTATCTCTTAAATATTACGAAGAATATCATTTCAAAATTATGTCATTTTAATAAATACTTACTGAAAAAAATTAAAATATTCTATTTGTAAAATATGAATAGGATATTTTTTATAATATTTTATTAAAATAATGTAATTTTAAAATAATTTTTTTTAATTTTTAAAAAATAAAATGAACAAACATTAATTCCATTTTAAATTACAATTTACTATAAAATATAATTTTTTTTCTTTATATTGTCCGTGGAGTTCATGGGAAAAAAATTGTGGAAAGTGAAGTTACGAGGGGGTACGTTTGGAGGCAAGAGGTTGAAAGAGACAAATCAAACCCATAACTTGGAAGTGGACCAAGTGGTTAGCGAAAAAGACAGGGCTTGCATTTTTGGGAACCTAGTTAAAAAAAATCGCATGTGCCTGTGCGGTTGTAACGTTAAATTGATTCGTACATACCGTAGCCTTTTTACTTAACACGAAAACCGTAGGCTTTTTACTTAACCACCTTCTTTTTTTCTTTTTTTTTTTTAACGAGAAATATAAAAATACTGTAAGGCAAGCCCGTGGGCCCCATGTGTGGGGCGCATTTGTTTATTTGGCCTCGGTGCCATAGCGACCCGAGGTGGTCTCCTCAGGAATCGAACCCGAGGTCTCGAAGGACTCCTCCCTTAAGAGGATTTCACGGGTGATCCTGGTACCACTTGAGGTGGCCTCCCTAGGAATCGAACCCGAGGTCTCGAAGGACTCCTCCCTTAAGAGGATTTCACGGGTAATCCTGGTACCACTTGAGCTGACCTTGGGTCGCTATGGCACCGAGGCCAAATAAACAAATGCGCTCCACACGGGGGGGCCCATGGGCTTCCCTTACATAAAGGCCGGCCTTTTTGACAGGGGTACCCCGTGGGCGCTAGGGCCGAGTTGGGGCAGTGCCTGGGCTTGGCGTATTGTTATTTGTCCTCCCGTGAGAGGGGCCTCCCCAGGAATCAAACCTTGGTCTCCCTTAAGAGAATTCCGAAGGTGACCCTGGTACCACTTGGGCCGATCAGCTCAAGTGGTACCAGAATCACCCGTGAAATCCTCTTAAGGGAGGAGTCCTCCGGGACCTCTGGTTTGATTCCTGAGAAGGCCTTTATGTAACGGAGCTCAAGTGGTGCCAAGATCACCCGTGAAATCCTCTTAAGGGAGGAGTTTTTCGGGACCTCAAGTTCGATTCCTAGGGAGGCCACCTCGAGTCGCTATGGCACCGAGGCCAAATAAACAAATGCGCCCCACATGGGAGAGGGGCCCACGGGCTTCCCTTACATCAACTCAAGTGGTACCAAGGTCACCCGTGAAATTCTCTTAAGGGAGGAGTCCTTCGGGACCTCGGGTTCGATCCTTGAGGAGGCGTCCCCTCGGGAACAAATACGCAATAAGCCCTGGCGCCCAAGGCCTCCGAGCCCAAAGCCCTTACAGATACAACCAGAAATAAATCACATTTTGTGTCACCGTGAACTTAGGACGGCCGATTGAGCGATGACGGTGATCCTCTGCCGTCTTCACCCTCGCTCATCAGGCATTTATATTAGTTTTTTCCGTTTTAAGCGTGTGTTTAGTATGTAATTTTTTTAAAAAAAAATTTTTGAAAAGTTGTATTCCGTACAAAAATTGACTTAAATTGGCTTAAAATTTTTAATTTTCGACATATAATTTTAAGTACAATATAGTTAATCCAAAAAATAATTAATTATATGATAATACTATTGTTATAATATTACATAAGATCATAAATGTATAATTTTATATAGTATTAATTGAATATCATGGTATATTAAATAAATAAATACATATAACATTATAAGTAAATCACTAAATGAAAAAAATTAATTATATAATAATATATCATATTATAAGTTTATAATATCACGTAACTTATAATTATAATATTTTTGTTGATTATATTATTACTTTTTCAAAAAAAATTAAATTTTTTTTTCTAGCAAAGTAATATAATTAAGGATGGCAACAATTCCTCACAGGGGCAAGGACCCCTTCCTTATCCTCATTTTCTGGTGGAGAGCCAAAAATGACATTTATCCCTATTCCTACGGGGCTTGATAAATCCTTGCGGGTGTTTGGAGTTCTCACCAAATATTAATCATATCCTAGCAGCTTGAGAAAATCTAGTAGAGAACATTAAGAAAGAGTCAATAAATTATCACCTGCTCATTAATTAGAATTAAGTTCAACATAGGTCTACTTAACATAGTTGGAACCTTGGAGCTGGAAGCGAGTGGAGGCAACTCAGGCAAGCAACCATTGTCGTTGAGAGCTTGTGGAGAATCAGAGGTAGAGTCACAAGGGAGGAATTTGATGGTCGATCGGTTATTACTAAATGAGCTATGATTCAGAGGAATATAGTAGGAGCGTTGTCACTGTGAGGTAAGGAGGACTTGGAGTTGGAGACTTGGAGTTAGAGGCGAGTGGAGGCAACTCAGGCAAGCAGCCATTGTCATTGAGAGCTTGGGGAGAATCAGGAGATGGGAACAGAGCTATAGAGCTAGAGGAGGAATTTGAAAATTTTGAATCTAATGTTTGATAGTAAACGACAAGGGTTGCTAGGCAATTGGGTTTGGGAAGATTGGATTCATTGGAAGTGCAATAGGAATAGGCTGGACAATTGGTTTGGAAAGACTGGAAAAAGAATGGGTTGGGCAATTTAGGTTAGATTGGCATTGGGTTAGTGAATTGGGTTGAGTGAGTAAAAATCAATTGGTACTATATTTACAAAAATATATGTAAATAAGTATATATTTTTTATTTTATATAGATCCCTACAAAATTTCATAGAAAAAAAAAAATCTTCATCCCAACCCCATTGGAAGGAATATTCTTGGAAATTTCATCCCTATGACATGGATTCCCACGAAACTTTCTGGGTTTTGAAAAAAATTGTCATTCCTAAATATAATCAAATAAAAAAAAGAAAATAAACAATTACATTAGATGCAATTACATATTTTTTTTTAATAATCAATTATATTACACTTAAATTTACTTGTTAAAACTTTTCTTGAAAGTCCCGCTTTATTTGTTAGGATCATGTTAAATAGTATGAAAATTTCTAAATCATAACTTATCTTGTCAATTGTTATAATGCACAACTAACAGCCTAAAACTCATAAAAATGACAAAATTAAAAAAATGCATATAAGATCACAAGCATAAATTAGCCTTCTTTTATATGTTAAAACATAAATAAGCCCATACAAATTCACGAATAAGCCTTTCACATAAAACATGTGGAACTAAATGGGTTGATACTTGGTAAGAGGTAAGGTTGGGCTTCACCTGCAAGCCGATTTGGCCGAAGGCCCACAATGAGCTGGCCTCAGCAGATCAGCAGTTCGTGATGTGGTAAAATTTAAAAAGTATTTATTTTAAAAAATAGTTTACTTATAAATTTAGAATTTTATTAAGAAAAAATTTAAAAAATAATTTTTAAAATAATTTTAAGTAAATTATGAAAATAATTACATATACAAAATTTTTAAAACTTATTTAAAAATATATTTAAAATTTAATTTTAAGATTTTTTTAATAAAATTTTAAATTTATAAAATATATATAATACTTCTAAAGTTCTACAACACACCGTCTGAACCAAACAATAGAATAACCGGCATAGTTTAGCATTTCCGGTCCGGTTCAACATTTCGAGTTGTATACTCACGCTTGTGTCTCAGAAGTCAGAACATGACGCAAAGACGGCCGGAGCCGCTATCACGACCAGGTCCTGCAAAACGAAGGTGCTTCCTTTTGCAACCTAAAACCATTCATGAATGAGTGAACCTCTTCTTCACAAAGAAAGCCATGAATGTCAACTACAACAACAATGACGAGCCCAGACTTCGTCCGAACAGTAGCCAACCGTTATGCTTCTCGGTTGCAACTATGTTGCCCGCAGACCGCCACCTCGTACTCCCTTGTCCAAACCATCCATGCCCACATGATGACTTCTGGGTTCAAGCCACGTGGCCACATCCTCAACCGTCTTCTCGATATCTACTGCAAGTCGTCTGGGCTCACCTATGCCCGCCGCCTGTTCGACGAAATTCCTAAACCAGACATAGTTTCAAGAACGACAATGATTACCGCATATTCTGCCTCTGGAAACTTAAAACTTGCTCGAGAGATATACAGTAAGACTCCTTTGAGTATGCGAGATAACGTTTTTTACAACGCAATGATCACAGGTCATTCACATAACAGTGATGGTCATGCATCTTTTCAATTCTTTAATGAGATGAGGCATCAGGGATTTTGGCCTGACAATTTTACGTTCACTAGTGTTCTTGGTGCCTTGGCACTTATTGCGGATAATCCAAAGCACTGCCAGCAAATGCACTGTGCAGTGGTGAAATCGGGAACAGGGTTTGTTACTTCGGTGTTGAATGCACTTATTTCTGTTTATATCAACAGTGCGTCTTCACCATCTCCGTTGTCTTCATCATTGATGATTGAAGCTAGAAAGTTGTTTGATGAGATGCCTGAGAGAGATGAGTTGACATGGACAACAATGATAACGGGTTATGTAAGGAATGATTACCTTGATACAGCTCGTGAATTTCTTGATGGAATGAGTGAAAAATTGGGGGTTGCATGGAATGCAATGATTTCAGGTTATGTGCGTCACGGACGTTTTCAAGAAGCATTTGACTTGTTTAGAAAGATGTATGCTTTAGGAATTGAGCAGGATGAGTTTACATTCACGAGTGTCATCAGTGGCTGTGCCAATTCTGGATTGCTCCAGCCTGGAAGGCAGGTTCATGCTTATATTTTAAGGACAGAGACAAAACCTGCAGCTGAATTTTCTTTGCCTGTTAATAACGCATTAGTTACGTTATATTGGAGATGTGGTGAAGTCGACAAAGCATGGAAGATTTTCAATAAAATGCCTTTTAAGGACCTTGTTTCATGGAATGCAATTTTATCAGGTTATGTGAATGCAGGGTGTATTGAAGAAGCTAGTTGCTTTTTCAGGGAGATGCCAGAGAGAGATCTTTTGACATGGGCTGTGATGATAGCAGGGTTAGCACAAAATGGCTTGGGGGAGGAGGGTCTGAAGCTGTTCAACCAAATGAAATTAGAGGGTTTTGAACCATGTGATTATGCATTTGCAGGAGCAATTACTTCATGTTCTGTGCTTGGAGCATTAGAGAATGGGCGACAACTCCATGCTCAACTTGTCCACCTTGGTTATGATTCGAGTCTCTCTGCAGGAAATGCACTGATCACAATGTATGCAAAATGTGGTGTTCTTGAGGCTGCCAATTGTTTATTCTTTACAATGCCTTTTGTGGATTCAGTATCTTGGAATGCTATGATTGCAGCTTCGGGCCAGCATGGAGATGGTGCTAGAGCATTAGAATTTTTTGAGCAAATGTTAAAGGAAGGTATATTTCCAGATCGGATAACTTTCCTCACAGTTCTATCTGCTTGTAGCTATGCAGGTTTAGTTGAGGAAGGGCGACAGTATTTTGATATGATGTACAGACTTTATGGCATTACCCCAGGTCAAGATCATTATGCCCGGGTAGTTGATTTGTTGTGTCGAGCTGGAAAGTTCTCAGAAGCAGAGGATGTGATTAAATCAATGCCTTTTGAGCCAGGTGCTCTAATTTGGGAGGCTCTTCTTGCTGGTTGTCGTATTCATGGAAATCTGAAATTGGGAATACAAGCTGCAGAGCGACTTTTTCAGCTGATTCCACAACATGATGGAACCTATGTACTGTTATCAAACACGTATGCATCCGCTGGACGGTGGAATGATGTAGCTAGAGTGCGGAAATTAATGAGAGACCAAGGAGTGAAGAAGGAGCCTGGGTGTAGTTGGGTTGAGGTTGAGAGTAAGGTTCATGTGTTTTTGGTTGATGACACCAGGCATCCTGAGGCTCGAGCTGTTTACAAATACCTTGACGAATTGGGACTAGCCATGAGGAACTTAGGTTACACTCCCAACACAAAGTTTGTGTTACATGACATGGAGTCTGACCAGAAGGAATATGCCTTGTCTACACACAGTGAGAAGCTTGCAGTAGCATATGCACTCATGAAGCTTCCCCCTGGAGCCATGGTCAGGGTTTTCAAGAACCTTAGGATTTGTGGAGACTGCCACAATGCATTCAAGTTTATGTCGAAAGTGGTCAAAAGAAAGATTGTTGTAAGAGATGCAAAGAGGTTCCACCACTTTAGTGATGGTAAATGCTCATGCAGTGATTACTGGTAGTCATATTTTTAAAGGGAAATGCAGTGATTACTGGTAGTCAAATTTTTAATGGGAAATCTGAGTTAGTTGTAAGCTGTGGGAAAAATGAGTATTGAAGAGTATATATTCAAGCCTTGCATTGCACTAGGTATTGAACTTGATACTTCATTGAAAAAGATTTATACCAACAAAGAGGTATTTGTCTGTTGTACATTCTCATATCTATCAGGATTTACCTACACATGTTCAAGTCTTACATATAAATAATCAGTGTTGATTTCTAAATCCCTTGGTTGATATAATACTGCTATATTCAGTAATATATCTCAGACCGTGTTGGATTCAGAAATGAACGGTTGATAATTTATGTAAGACTTACATTTATATGAGTAAATACCAATCATGAACACAAACTTGTTATGATAGTTGAATTGAGATACATCAATCTCACATCTTAATACACCCTCTGCCTTAGTTCCATTCCCCACCTCCCCCACCCCCTACCTTTTTTTTGTGGTTTAGATTCTTTAGAAATCAGTAATGGAGGAGGAAATAGATAGATCATCTTTTTCTGTTTCCTAGTGGGGTCCCATTGATGATGCATTGGGCCTCACATAACAATGTCCCATCTCTTACGGCCTCAGATTTTAGTGGTGGGGACCCAACCCATTGAATTAATTGGGTTCGGTACGATGCAAAAAAAAAAAAAAAAAAAAAAGGGGAAAAATGTTAAAAGGCCCAACAATCTATAGGTCTGAAAGCCATTTGATTTGATGTGATAAAGAAAAGACCTGCATTTGGGAGGGAAAATTTGTTGTAAAATCGTCCTGTTAACATCAATGTTTTGGATTTCCAAAGTCCTTTCCTTATCCACTGGTGATTTTTCACGTGCCTCTGTAGGAAACGAAAGTAGGAATCCCGTAGGCATTGTATTAATCTCATGTACACTAACGTTTCGATTGTTTTACTATCGTCCCAAATGGTATCAGAGCGATTGATTATCGGCATTTATGTCAACACGTTGGATTGGACCTACTATTTCATGATGGGTTGCTAACATTTTTAACAAGTGTACGTTGTATGGTACAAACTCGTTGTAGGAAAGTAGCTGTTCACGCCTCATGCAGAAAATATCAATAAGAAGGAACTGTTCGTCCACCAAAAGCGTGAGAGGCATATTTGTTTGTTTTCATGAAAGAAGATGATGAATTGTGTGTAATAGACAACAACCTGTACTGGCACAAGTGTATGGATATTAAAAATTTAACAACCATCTCTAAACCATAGGGAATGTTGATAAAGCTTAAACATCTACGAGTAAAGATGGAGAGAGTTTTTTTTTTTTTTGATATATCAAAAGTTAATTGTTATTAATGATGTGAATCGAGCATTCAGATTCAATAATTTATTCTCAAATTTTAAAGTATTTAAATTTATTAGTTGTGGTTTTAACCTTCATCAATGTTTTGAAAAAAAATCTTTTCTTCCAAATTGTAAACTGTTCAAAAATAATAATTGTTATTAATGGTGTAGATTTTGAACTTTAAATCTCAACATGTCTTTAAACAGTTCTGTCATGAATGGGGTATTTCATCTAAATCAAATAAAATTCTAAAATTTTTTCTTTGTTCTTTTTTTCTTTTAATATTTTCCTCCATTCCTACATCTCACTTTGTTTAAAAAAAAAAAGAAAAAAAGGGTTTAAACATTCAAATAGACGTTTTTATAATTGGTAAATCCTAACTTGGCTCCTTTTGGTGTTTGTTTAATTAGCATTATAATTGATGAAAGATAAATGGTTGGCGCGGACCATTTTATTTGCTAGGTAGGGGCCAACCCTTTAGGCCTTCCATGATTATGCCAAATTTAATTTTTCTGCCGAACTAGCTAAATAAAGTCCTACAAAGTTGCAAGAATGAAACCCTTAGGCCTTTATTAGGGTTAAATAATGCATGGAAAATATAGCTGCCCGACCTAGTCTTCTAGAATTGCATGAGTAGGCCCTTTTTTTATATATATATAATTTATAGTTAGGGTGTTTTTGAATTAGTTTTTATATATCTTCAAACTAATATTTTCCTAAACGATTTTAGAAGCCCACCCTTTACTATATCAGCCTGGCTTCAACATTTGAACTTAAATATGATTTATAGAACAGTATTTGTTTACAGTGAAACTAACTTTTGGATCAGAATTACATGAATTTGGTGTTTGGTTTGTAACTAAAAATTAGTAGTAACTTGTTTTCAGATACTTCATTTTTGGTCTCAAAATGTGCTGTAACGCACAATTTGCCTTAATTTAGCATTATGTTCCTAGATTTACAAATATACACATATACACACACATATATATATATATATATATAATGTTTCTTGCGACCCTCTTATTCTTAAGCATTATGTTTCTATCAATCTTTCTTCTTCTTCTTCTTCTTCATGAGGTATAGAAAGCCAAATGACCATACGTCGAAGCAAGGGAAGATGCGCCAAGCAACAAAATGCTCATTCAACCTTGCTTCTAAAAAAATTTCTTTACTATAGAAGCGGAAGCTAGGTTAAAAACAATTTTATTAGAAGCACTCACATGACATTTTTCTTTGGTGAATCAAAATGCAGTAATGACATTTTAAAGCTAAAGTTATAATTTTTTTTTTTGAAGTTTTTACTACCAAACTTTTAAATCTGATAAAATTTTATTAAATTTAAAGTTATTTAGTTATCATTTTATATTAGGTAATACGAATTCTATCTTTTTCTTGAAAAAAGTGCGTCTCTTCATACATACTGCCTTGATTAACAAATTCAGCATAGATGTGCAATGATAAAAGCAAGAGTTTCCTTAGAGCAAAAGAGGGAGAGAGTGCTTGAAAAGCTGAGTGAAGTTGAAGAAAGATCAAATCCAATTATGGAGTCAAAGTAAAGAATACACTTCAAATCCTCAACTTCTGTAGTGTAATTGTTAATAACAATTAGACAAGTGTTTTGTCTCCAACCATGGAGGCACCAAGAATAAGTATACTTTTCCAAAAGCAACATGAAAAGGGGGAATAATAGGCTTATAGCTTATAGGGAAGAAAGTAAAAGCTCATCCCTTCCATGTTGCTACCTTCCCTTCCCCCTCCTTCAAGACAAAGGCAAATATCAAAGCAAATCACTAACTATTGGGATCATACTTTCATTTTTCTTACCAACGTTCTGATTTAACCTAAAGTGAAAACTCATGCTGACATGCCCAACATTAAAGTTTAAGGATGATATTGTTAGTTTTTGAAGTTTAGGGATGAACTTGGTCCAAACTGAAATTGAGGGACCAAATTGGATATTTAACCAAATTTAATGAGAATGATGAGAGATGTCTTCCATCTGTAACTTGCTGAGAGTCCGTCATTCCAACAGTTTGGAGTTGAGATATTCCGTAAGGGATAGGGATCACTGATTGGGTCCTACGTTAATGTAGTTTACTTCATTGTTCATCCAATGGGAATGATAGGGTGCCTTATACTTGTAGTTAGCATAACTTAAGTAGTCAAAAGATCAAAAATATTCTTTAATCACGTGATTTTGGAGGCGTGTTAACAACTTTATTAACATTATTTTTTAAAAAATAAGTCGTAATAACCAACCAAATAATTCTACAAAATGATTAGTGCATGTTCTATAAATAAGAACAAAAAAAGAAAAAAGAAAAAAACTCAGAACTAAGTCTACCAACTCCCATCCCAAGTAATTGATCCAAGCTATTGTGTTGCCTGGCCGACATCTTCTTCACAAGCTTCCATTCCTTGATCTAAAACTTGGTCAGAGTCAAAATAGCTATAGTACTGAAACAACAATGATGACAGCATTTAAAGACCCATACAACCTCATGCTATAACAGCTAAGTCTTGCTTTTGCATCAAACTACACTGATTAATTTAACACAAATAATTCAAATGGTCCCCCTACACTTAATCACATAGTTTAGGGCACATTGTCCTTACCTAATGGCCTTGAACCACCCCAAAGCTAACTCAATCAAACAGGCCATTGCTAAAAGAAGGCAATAAAAATCCTTGACTCGTCTCCCTTGACCTCCTGTCTCTGCCTGCTGTAAATAAGCTCTCATGAGCATCTACCCCACTTGCTTTCATTGCATTCATGCATTTGTAGTAGCATTTCGAACTTAGGTTAAAATGGATTTCACTTTTTCCATGAATCGTCTTCTTCAATGTAACATAAACGATTGTTGGCATTTTCTAAAAGTATTGTTTGGTACCATCAAAGTTTTCAAAACAAAGTACACACAAAAAAATATAAAAAGTTCCAAATTAAGACTAATAGTTTATTGAGAAATCTAGCTATAATTAAAAAATGATAATTATTTTATTTATTATCAATTGATTTTAAGTTGAATGCGGGCATATATCTAGTATGATTTGGTTGGATTCAACAACTTTGCCGTCTACTGTCCTTGGGGAATCTTATTTCCAAATTAAAGGTTACAAAATGAATAGAAACAAAAGGGGGATTAGAATTTTAGCACTTACCAACCTGGACCAACAAATATTGTTAATCTTAATTTTGTTTATCACATGTTAAGTAACAATTTGTTAAGCTTTTAACATTATTGTCTCCATTATAAGACAGAGGAGCACAGATATCCCAAGGATAATTTTGGTTATTTATTTATTTATAATTAGCTATCTGAATTTAATTAGAGCTGTTCAAATCTTAATGAAAAGCTTTTTCCAGGATATCTTACCACTTGAATTATTTATTTTCAGGGGACGAAAATGTCCTGCAAACAAAGAGGGAAAATGACATGTTATGGCATTAGTGACAAAGCTATTTCAAAGGGTAATATTGGAAATTAGGAGAAAATATGATTGTGTTTGATACACTCCTCACATGGCTAGAACTTAGTCTCATGTGATCACATGGTTTAGTCTTTCATTCGCCATATCTCCCTTGACTAATCAAGAGAATTAATCAATTAAGCACTGAGGTGATATAAAGATAAGCATGCAGATAACTGTGTTTAAAATTCTCACTTTTTTACTAAGCTCTTCCTTTATGCCTAAAGACTAGCACTAAAGGAACATGTTGAGGTCCCAATGGGGCACATATAAGCTTTTGACCCTCAACAGGGTATTTAACTAATAATAGTTTGATATTATAAATTGAAAATTTCATATTTGAACCTTCATATAATAAGGAATTTGAAAAATAAACAAGTTATTTCTTATTGTATATTGCTTGTCATTAAATATACAAAAAATATATAAGCTTTTTTAGAAAGAAAGTTTAAGCTCAATCCTCAAGAATTAGAATGGATGTGAAATCTAAAAGGTTTTTGATCTTTTAAGAGGTGTTTGGTTTGCAATTTTAAAAGTAAGAACTTTTAAGTTCTAAACCATTAGATATTGATATTTAGTTGGTTCAAAGACACTTAACGGTTAAAAAAAATTAACTATAATTAAGGAAACTCTTTTATTATTATTATTATTAATATGTATTCTTATTTGTAATATGAAGTTGTAAAATGTTTTATAGGATGAGAAAGGTTAGAAATTTGGAAAAACAATTTTTTTTTGTTTTTGGGATTCTATGAGATTGAAACACTCAATTTGTTACGCTACTTCCAAAATAGAATTTACCTTCATGAGTATGTTTTCTTATGTAATTCTACCTACAAATTAATACCCTTTCCCCCTAGAAATTATAACTATAAGATGTCAGCTTCTACCTTTCTACCATAGAAATTTCTCATTATTACATTTTATTAGTTTTTTGTAAGGCTGTTTGGAAAAACAAAGGAAAAAAAAAAAGGCAAAATGGAGGATAAACTAGAACTGCATGCAAAATCTCTCAAAACCCCACTTTTTGGCCTTTTGTGGTTTCCCAAGGTTGTCCATGTGCTGCTTTTATATTCTAAACACCTCATTAGCTCTTTGTTTCAACTTCAGCAGACCACTAGGTTTTTAATAATCTCACGGTCCACTCAATTACTATCAGTAACAGAACACAGTTATTAAAATCCTCTTCAAGAAGTATCTCTTCCCTTTATATATCACAATCTCATACTTCTTCCTTAGAACACTGAGCCAAACTTCAGAAACCATTCCCTTCCCATTTTCCTTGGATCCAAACACGAACTCAGGAAAAATATGGCACTGGAAGCAGTTCCAGCAACCCCCAGATCAATTGATTCAAGTCCTCGGATTTCTTTCTCTGCTGATTTCCTTGATGAAACCAACTTCATCTCCATCAACCCTCATTCTCACATTGAGAATAAAGAAGAGAATGATAAGGAGAGGGAGAAGGCAAGAGCTGCAGAGTTTGAGTTCCTGTCCAGCAATATCAGCAGCCATACCATGTTGACAGCTGATGAGCTTTTCTTTGAGGGGAAGTTGCTTCCCTTTTGGCAAATGCAGCATTCTGAGAAGCTGAACAAGATCAGTCTCAAAACAAAAGATGCTGAAGGAGAAGAGGAGGTTACCAAGGAGGAGAGTAGGGTAAGCTGGTTTGTTGATGATGACCCATCTCCAAGGCCACCAAAGTGCACTGTTTTATGGAAAGAGTTGCTGAGGTTGAAGAAGCAAAGAGCTTCATCTTTATCCCCATCTTCTTCTTCCTCTTCAACATCTTCTTCTTCTAGCTCACTTGCCGATATCGCCACCAAAGAAGAAGGGAAAGAAGGATCTGGAAACAGAGAGAAGCATGTGAAGAGGATTAAGAAAGGGTTGGAAAGGACAAGATCAGCAAGTATCAGAATTAGGCCAATGATAAATGTGCCCATTTGCACTCGAATGAAGAGCAGTTCATTGCCTCCTCTGTTTCCCCTGAAGAAAGGAAGATTAGAAAGGTAAAAGTAATAATCAAAAAACTGAAAAAATAGTTGAATTTGATCTGATCTTTATCATTAGGGTTGTTCAAGATGTGTCTTCTTTTTTTCTTTTTCTTTTTTTTAATTTCTTTCATTTCATCTTCATTTTTCTTTTGTGTTTAGATAAATCTTGGGAGTTTTATGGACCTAATGTATGACAATGTACAAGCTAACTGGTTTTGTTATCAACCAATTGACTATGTACTGATATTTCTTCTCTCACATAGAGTAGAACTTGAATTTCTAGAGCTTCCACGGATAACAGAAAAGAAGCAGTCATACCACATGCAGATATGCAGGGTCTGAGAACTAAAGGGTCCCCCCACTATGGAAGATAAGCCAAAAGGAATCTGAGCATATGGGATTAAACGATCATGAATCTTTGAATTATTTTGGGATGGGGTAAAAGATCTGGAAAAGCTTGTGCTTCTTCTGACTTCTGAGTTCTGATTCCCCCATTAAGCTACTTTATTTTTTATGCATCTGACCAAACAGCAATCAGTATCTACCATAGTCATAGATTAGAAGATACTTACACATTTTTTAATACCACTTAAAGCAGTTAATTTGCTACTTCCTTCTACACTATTAATAAAGAAAATGCAAAAAAGAAAGAATAAAAAGTAAAAAAAAAAAGAGCACCCATTCGAGAGAGGATTTACCGGTAAGAGGTTTAGAGTTCATTCCAAAATGCAACTAGGAAAATTATTCATTGAATCAATGCTTGTTGTGTATTGGCTTTTCCTGCAGGAGTTAACTTTTATTTCTTCATAACAATGTAAGAAATGAAGCCAGTGCCAATAAAACAGAATGAAGTTTACAGAAACAAAACGCAACTAAACATTGAATAGTGCAGAAGAAATGGGAAAAAGATATATATAATATAAGAATAATGGAGGAGTAACATGATTTAGAAGAAGCATCATTTAGTATGCGAGTAATTATAAAGAATCATAGAGACTATATATGAAGAAACATGCAAGTATACAGCCATGTGGAGTAGTCATGTCACATGGAGGAGATAGTGTATTGCCAACAAGAGAAGTGAAAGCATAACAACTTTCAGCGGTGAGAGATAGGAATGGTGGAACTTCCAGCAAAATTTCCGAGCCAAAATCTTTTGAACTTATTATGGAATTCATTTACACCTACGGAATTTTGGAGACAATTTTTCGATAGGCAGCTGTATGAGTTACCTCTGGATCCATATACCTATTTGCTCAGGTGTTCTGGACAGAAATTGATTCCCAGGAAAAAAATGATCCTGAACCAAGTTGAAGCATAGAATTTAGCATACAGTTAGTTGTTAGATAAGAGTTACATGCCTGAACTCAACTTTACATATGGTCCAGTCCGGGTTCCCCAATGCGGCTATTGGGCACACAACTAGTCAGATTGTTGTTTGCTTGTTTTGTAAGAATCTAAAAGACACAGGATTAAGTCTGGTAGGTGAGGAATCAAATGAGGCTATATTGACTGCAAAACAGACATGTTAAGTAGAAAGCTAACGCTCATGTTAATTAAAAAAGAAATAAGGGTCAGCCATAAAAGAAGCAGTCTGCAAGCATTATCAAAGAGGTAAAATGTTTGAAATGTTTGCATGGTGCTTTATGAGAGTAAGACTTACAACAATTCATGCAACTTTTGAATGTCTCCAAGTAATGAGGGGATCTCTCCAGTAGGTTGGATTGTCTTCCAAATCCCTTTCAAGAGAAAGTGGCATCATATCAGGGAAGGCAAGCTGAACTCCGTGCCACAGTTTACTCTAGTTTCCAACGAACTATAACACAAGGGGAAGTAATATATATTGACAAACCTCCAATGCCTACAACTATCCAGTCACCCTATAGAACAAGAAAATCAGGTTTCATAATAATCTTTTGTATCAGTGTAAGGACAAAGGATGCTCATACACCAATGTTTCTAGGAAGTTAAACAGTTCCAAAAAACTTCAAAAAAAAAAAAAAAATGGGAATCTAAAAGCTTATTTACAACTTACAATATCTCCAACATCTTTAATGAATGGAGAGCAGATATTTATCCTGATAATCTGGGGTTTCCCAGCCTGCAACTAGAAACTCAATCAGAAATTGTTGTTTCTGAGTTTCCCAAAGCAATGAACTTTACTAAAATTACATGTTGGTTAATGCAGTTAACTTCTTAATAGTTGGGGATTGTGATCCTGAAAGAACCATGTCAGTTATAGAGCCAGGTTCTTGAAAGTAAAAGAAAAATTATACATGTATATACATACACACACAAAAAACATTTCAGAAGCCGTAGAATTTATGCTAAACAATGGGAACTCCATCATAACTAATTGAACTCACAAAGCAGTCACACAGATTCAGGAGCCCTCAAGAGGCATGTAATTTCGGTCCATTTGTACTTATGGGACAAGCAAGGATCATCAGTCCAATCGAGTGGAGGGTTTTGCAATCAATTTTTTGACTTCTTCTATCTTACTGCAACAAATAACAACAACAACAAAAAAGAAATCTAATTTGCATGGGAGCCAAAATACCTTAAAATTAATTCATTTCATTAAACTGACTCATAGTCTATTTTTAGTGACTGTTTTTGGTTTTTCCCGTTGCACTTAAACAGTACTAATATTATTGACCGATTCATTTTCTGTTTTGCCTTTTGAAAAGATAAAATACGATATATCAACTATTTTACTAACTCCTTATTAATCTCAATGAAATGAAAAGAATTTGATTTTTTTAAATAAAATTTTGAGTTCGTGTTTTGTATATAAGGGAATAGAAGTTGAAAGAGTATTTTTTTTTATAAGTCTAACTTAATTTAATTTTAAATTAATTAAGATTTAATATAATTTTTT